TGTAAATATTTCCCCTGTTTTTCTTCAACCTGGACGTAACTTACAATAGACGGTCAAATTAGTAGCTATTACCAGCCAATGAACTTGTGGTTTTCCTGTGATGTCACTCTCTTTTTGCTGGACTCCCAATCCTGAGGTTCAATTTATCCTGTAAAAACAACCTTCCAATCTATGAGTCCAAAAAGCAAACAAACTGCACCACTTCCCTTCTGCACCGAATTCCTAAGCTGCATGCCATGCATGCCTTGAATGTGATTTCTCCTTCTTGACTATGCGCAGCTCACAGTAACCCCCAGCCTTTGTGTTGCATTATTATCTCTGCATACTCTGACATTTCGACTCTCCCTGTATTTTCATTCAAGCCCTTTATTATCATAGAATCCCTACAGTGTGAAGACAGGCCCTTCGGCCCAACAAGTCCACACTGACCCTCTGAAGAACATCCCACCCAGACCCATTCCCCCTACTCATGTAACCCACCTAATCTACACACCTCTGAATGCTATGGGCAATTTAGCATGGTCAATCCACATAACCTGCACATCTTTAGACTGTAGGAGGAAACCAGAGCACTTAACAGAAATTCATGGCAGACACGGGGAGAATGTGTAAACTCCACGCAGACAGCCACCTGAGGCAAGAATCAAACTGGGTCCCTGGCGCTGTGAGGCAGCAGTACTAACCACTGAGTTACCGTGCTGCCCCACATCGCTGTGAATGTTCCCATTTACCCCCTGAGCTCACAGCCTTGTAAATTGCCATCTATTAGTCTCCTCACATTGAGGCCAAGATGATTGTAATAGTGAGAATCTCCCCTCCTGTTCCCTCCTATGCTCCAAGATCTCCTGCGTCTCTCTGGAATTACCCCTTTCAGCATGACCATTCCCTCAGTAACCCTGTGTACAGGACCCCAACCCCAGATACGAGCTTTCCACTTTCCCCAGGACTGCACATTCTTCCCTCTGATGAGCCCCCTCAACATTAATGTCCAAGTCTCAGAATGACTTGTGACACCAGCCGCCCCAGATAGGTAACTCTGTAGCCTCTGACTGGGCTGTAATCCCTGGAGTGGTTTCACTTGACCCACAACACTGACGGTGACCCAGTACCTGGACTGCGGATACACAGAGCTCCAGACTGTCATCAACCAAGCACCTGACTGACCATGACCAACCCCCTCAAATGAGATCAGACAAGATTCTTGACTAAGTGTGGTAGAACCCCTTTCTAACCATAGACCTCCTTTACTCCAATAAGGATCGGCCACCTTTGATTTTTAGACATGGCATTTGATTGAAACACTTGTAGTGTGTTTGCATGTGCTGGAAGATGGTGTAGGTGTGAAATTGCCAAAGCCCAGTACCATACAGTGACGGATCCACCCCCTTTGACTGTTGAGTGCTCTGAATCACCACAACCTTCCTGCCTGTCCATCCACTCCAAACAGCAATGCAAGCTGTAGAGACTGACACTGAGACTGTAAGTTATTCCTGAGCAGCCTGTGTGCTGAAAAGCAATGGAAGTCACAGAGGCTGGCATCCTTGAAGTCAGTGCAAAGTTGATCCTAAAAGGGCAATTCTTAATTTTAGAATAGTGTCATTGGTTCTGGACTCACCCACAAGAGGAAACAAACCAATCTTTCCTCATAAAGCAATCTACTCATTCCCAGAGTCAATCTAGAAAAACCACATCTGAACTGCCTCCAATGTACATCTGTACTTAAATCAGGAGGCCAAAACTGCGCACAGTATTCAAAATGTGGTCTCACCAATGCCCTTTTAAATTGAACCATAACATCATTATTTTTAAATTGTAAAAAGTTAAGGGTCTGCACAGCCCCCTGTGGGACCCTTCTCATTACATTCTGCCAATCTGATAAAGAAGCCTTTTTGCATACTCTGTTTTCTTCCAGCCAACCAATCTTCTAACCATGCTAGTATGTTATTCCCTGAACTGTGAGCTCTCAGTTTGCACAATAACTTTTTATGTGGCACCTTGTCAAGTGCCTCCTAGAAAGCCAAAAACAGTACATCAATGGGCTTCCCTTTAGTACTATGAAAATGTTACAGTAACAATAAGCTATTCAGTCCATTGTGTGCATGCTGAAAAGACTTGCCATCTGTTCTAATCCCAGTTAGTAACACCTGATCCATAACCTTGCAGATTACAGGGCTGTAGGTGAAAATCAGGTACCTTTTCAATGAGTTGAAGGTTCCTGTCTCATCCACCAATTTGGGGAACAAATTCAAGACACTCACCAGCCTCTGGATGAAAATGCTTTATCTCATGTCCCTTCTAATCTTTCTCCCAATCACCTGTTAATTGACCTCTCCATTTGGAGAAGCAGGTTTACCCTGTCCACGCTATCCAAGCCTCTCTTTATTTTGTTCACCTCAATTAAGCCACCCTTCAACCTCCTCTGTTCTAGGGAAAACAAACCTAGCCTATCCAGTCATTCTTCATAGTTGCAAATTTCAAACCCTGGCAACCCTGTGATGTGGTGACCAGAACTGTGCATAAAACTCCAGCGCAAGCCTAACCAGTATTTTAAATAGTTCCAACATGACATCCTTATTTTTGTATTCGATATTTTGTCCAATGAAGGAAAGTATCCCATATGCCTTCTTTACCACCTAATCCACCTGTTCTGCCAGCTTCAAGGACCTACGGATATGCCCCCTGAGGGGGTCACTCCTTCAACCTTTCTCAGTACCATCCCATTACTAAAACCCACAAACCAACAACCACCCTGCGACAGCTACTGACGAATGTAAAGGATCCTGTACCCATGACCATTAAAACTAACGTAATATACAAAATACTATGCAAGGACTGTGAGAAACATTACATAGGCCAAACTGGAAGAAAACTGACAATTAATCCACGAACACCAAATGGCCACCAAGAGACATGACCAATTCTCACTGGTCTCAATACACACAGACAAAGAAGGGCACGAATTTGACTGGGACAACACATGCATAATAGCACAAGCTAAACGGAGACATGCCACGGAATTCCAGGAGGTCTGGCATTCCAACCAGAACTCCATCAATGAACACATTGAGCTGGACCCGATATACAAACCACTGAAAAACAGAACCAAAAGTAATGCCAACCACCCCAGGAAACTGAGGCATATAAACAACAAGCGGGACAGAACACCAACGCTTCACCAGAGGTGCACTGACAATGTTACCTAGCAGGATGACAAAACATCTGCATTCAATGCACCAGCTCGGCGAGCAAGTCTATAACCTCGTCCACAACCCAAACTACAAATCTTCTCAAAAACTTTCAAATAAGGCTTAGTCAGCACAGCTTCATCAAGTGGAGGTCATATTTAATAAATCTGTTAGAATTCTTTGCGGAGGTAATGAGAAAGTAAGACAAAGGAGAGACAGTGGACTGGATCTATTTGGATTTCCAGAAGGCCTTTGACAATGTGCCTCTCAGGAAGCTGATAAATAGTGAGAATGCGGTAAGCAGCAAGAAATGTGTTGTTTGCAAGAGATCAGTCTGAAGGAGGTAAGCGGGAACATAGGAGAGAAACTAAAGACAGGTGTGAGGTCAGTGCTCAGGCATACGGAATCCTGAGAGGATGTTTGATCCAGTGAGCTCAGGGAAGGAAAGGATGTGGTCGAGGCAGCTGATTACAGGGTTTCAGTCTTACTGATTAGTTCCTTTTACATGTTGGAAGTGAGGGTGGAAGAGGTTAAAAGGGAAGTTTAAAAAGATGGTTTGCAATCAAGAAGATAAGCTGGAGTTGCAGACCTGAAATGTTAACTCTGTCTCTATCCACAACTACTGTTGGACTTGCTGAGTATTTTCAGCATTTTCCGTTTTTATTTCAGATTTTCATCATACACAATATTTTCACTTTGTAAAAGAAACTCAGTGGTGAGTAGCTTTGGCAGATAGAAGAGGACACAATGGTACTTGAAATAATCCAGCCAGATATGAAAGAATAACTAAATCTTTCAAGGCTGTATCTTAGATTTAAGTGAACAGCAAGAGTTGAGGACAGTACTGGTGGAGTGGCCAGGATCAGAGAGAGCAATCATTATAATGTGGATTAGAGCATAAAAGGTCAAGGTGAGGAGGTAATTGAAAGATCACTTGCTGAAAAAATTTTATGCTCAATGGCATTTTGAAACTGTAGTTGTAAGCGAATTGGGAAGAACTCCCTGTTCTTCTTCTTAATAGTGCTGTGGAATATTTTACCTGATAGAGACCTCTGACAGTGCAGCACCCCCTCAGCACTGACCCTCTGACAGTGCGGCACTCCCTTGGCACTGACCCTCTGACAGTGCAGCACTCCCTCAGCACTGATCCTCCGACAGTGCGGCACTCCCTCAGCACTGATCCTCTGACAGTGTGGCACTGCCTCAACACTGACCTTCTGACAGTGCAGTGCTCCCTCAGTACTGATCTTCCAACAGTACAACACTCTCTCAATATTATCCTCTGATAATGCAGCATTCCCTCAGTACTTACTCTCTGACAGTGCAGTACCCTCTAATGTGACCCTCTGACAATGTGGCAGTTCCTCAGTCCTGACTCTCTGACAGTGTAGCATGCCCTCAGGACTGACCCTGTGACAACGCGGTACTTCCTCAGTACTAGGGCAGCAGATGCAAAGGAACACCAGCACCTGCACTTTTACCAAACTGCTCACTATCCTGACTTGCAAATATATCACCATTCCTTCAATGTCACTGGGTTAAAATCCTGGGACTCCCTCCTTCATGGCATCATGCGTCTATATACAACATATGTGGTGCAGCGGTTCAAGAAAACAGTTCACCACAACCTTCTCAAGGACTTCTAGGGATAGGCAATAAATACTGGCCTGGTAAACAATGTCCACATCCCATGACACAAACAATCAGATGGAGTGGCTTCAATGAAAGTTTGTTATCTCCTTGGCAACTGTTGCAGTCCAAATTCAATATGATAGAGGGCAGACAGTACTAAGATTTGAAACTTATTTTACACAGGATATTGAGCAGAGAATAAACATGCAGAGTGCAACCAGTGACTACCTGGAGTGGAAACTCAGTCAGCGGAAGGAGAAGCGGAATCAGTTGAACAAAGACTTGGAGGATCTGATGCTAGAACATGCTGAACTAAAGTTTGACCCCAACAAGACGATAGCCAGGTACAAGCTGCTCATTGCAACCCTTTCGGAGAGCTTGTTTTGCAGCCTTTGTTATCTCATCACCTGTTTTGAAATGTCTTTCAGGAATTGCCCCCAGAGGTCTCTCCCTGGAGGCGATGGCTTGTGGTATTATCGCTAAATCCAGAGAATGAAAACCTGAGTTTGAATATCGCCACAGTGGATGGTGAAATTTGAATCCAATTAAAAGTCTGAAATTAAGAATCTAGCTATAACCTTGAAACCACTGTCAATTGTTGGAAAAACCCATCTGGTTCACTCATGTCCTTCAGGGAAGGAAATCTGCCATCCTTACTTGGTCCAGCCTACATTTGACTCCAGACCCACTGCAATGTGGTTGACTCTGGGGCAATTAGGGATGGGCAATAAATGCTGGCCTAGCCAGCGATGCTGACATCCCATGAATGAATAAAAAAATTTCCAAAAGTTCACCCTTAGCGCTGACTCCAGAAATACCCTCTACACAAACAACGTAATATTCTTTGCCCTACAGCTATTTCTCATTCTTTGCTTCCTTCCCCCTTGTGTATAGGAACAGAACAAAGCTGCTGAACTTTCAGCTGCTCCACCATCAATTAGATCATAGTTGATCTGTATCTTAAAATATAATTTTACGCTTTTACTCGCGATAACAAGAGAAAATGTACTCATATATGAGTAAAGCTTTCAGGAGTGCAGATTTAAAGTTGAAATTTTCCAACAGAGAATATAGAAATGGCAATGCTGCAGGTAACAGAGAAACAGTGAAACTAAGGGCTGTCATTCAGGAGAGAACAAGCCATGGGCTGAGTGCAGGCAGAGTACAAGCTTGACAGATCACAGAGCAGGTGTCCACTAGAATTAAGCACCTTAAAACCTTGCTTTGAACAGAAGGTCAATGAAGTGATGTCACCTATCCCAACAGCCTCGGATGCACACGTATGCATGATCATTGCTGCAGACATTAGATTGGAGATCTTAAGAGTGAAATGACGGAAAGCGACTGGCCCGGATGGAGTCCCTGGCCGTGCACTCAGATCCTGGCTGGACCAGCTGGAGAGAGTATTTGCAAACACCTTTAACCTCCCCTTACTGCGATTTGAAGTCCCCACCTGCTTCAAAAAGACCACCGTTATCCCAATGCCAAAGAAAAATCATACAATGTGCCTCAATGACTATCACCCAGTGGCACTGACCCCCATAATTGTGAAGTGCTTCAACAGGTTAGTCATGGCTCACACCAAATTCAGCCTATCAAATTGCCTTGATCCTCGTCAATTCGCCTACAATGCAACAGATCCATGGCAGATGCTATCTCCCTGGCCCTACACTAATCCCTGGAACATCTGGATAACTAGGATACCTACATCAGTTCTGAGGAAGGGTCACCGGACCTGAAACGTTAACTCTGTTTTCTCCTTCACAGATGCTGCCAGACCTGCTGAGCTTTTCCAGCAACTTTGTTTTTGTTCCTATTTATAGCATCCACAGTTCTTTCGGTTTTTACCTCCATCAGGGTCCTACTTATTGAGTACAGCCTGCCTACACACCATAATTCCAAACAAAGTAATCTCTAAACTCCAAGACCTAGGTGGTCGTGCCCAAATTCAGCATGTCCACAAGGAATATTACCAACTTTTATTGATGCACCATAGAAAATATCCTATTTAGATGCATCATAGCATGGTATGGCAACTGCTCTTCCCAAGGCTCCAAAACTCATGAACACAGCCCAGTCCATCACTGACTCCAAAACTCATGAACACAGCCCAGTCCATCACTGAAACCAGCCTCCCATCCATTGATTCCACCTCATTTCCCACTGCCTCAGGAAAGCAACCAACATAATCAAAGACCCCTCACAACCCACTTATACTCTCTCCCACCCTCTTCCTGTGAACAGAAGGTATAAAAGTTGAATACACATATGAACAGATTCAAGAACAGCTTCTTCTCCACTGTTAACAGACTTTTGAACAGACCTCTTAAATGTTAATGTCTCTGTCTCTCTGCACCTTTTCTGCAGCTGTAATACTGTGTTCTGCTCTCAGTTTTGCTACCCTGATGCACTTTGCATGGTCTGATTGGCACGCAAAGCAATACTCTTCACTGTATCTCGGTACATGTGACAACAATAAAGCAAACTCAAATTCCAAATTCTATTTCATTGCAATAACCGCTAATTTCCCATTGTAATGTGAAGAGGCTATGCGACAAAATGATTCTGTTAAAAAGAATGTACTAACCTATATTCAGTAGCAGCTGGGAGAAGCCAGCAATTATTGTTGCCTCAGATGGTTTTGACTGATTTGGTGTTATTCTTTGTGTTTTCATCTTGTCAGCCTGACCATTTTAAAGGCGGGTACAGAACAACAGTTGAAGCTTGAAAAGGAGAAGCTTGCGATGGTGTTAACGCAGCTGTGTAACAGTGAACGTCTCCTCTTGTCCATTGAGAGTGGGATTGACAACTTGTACTACTCCCTGTATGGCATTCCTGGTACCACTGAGGTCTGTACTATACCACTGAGTAACATCATTTTCATTCTCTTATAGTGAAAGAAAACGTTCAGCATTATATTTAACATTCTCTCAACCACAATACTGATGCGCAACACTTACCTAGATGAATGCAGATTAAACAACACTCAAGACATTTGACACCATCCAGGACAAAGCAGCCCATTTGATTGGCACGACATCCACAAGCATTCACTCCCTTCACCACCGATGCTCAGTAGCAGCAGTGTGTACTATCTACAAAATGCACTGCAGAAATTCACCAAAAATCCTCAAACCCACGATCACTTCCACCCAGAAGGACAAGGGCAGCAGATACATGGGACCACCACCACCTTCAAGTTCCCCTCCAAACCACTCACCATCCTGACTTGAAAATATATTGTCATTCCTTCACTGGCACTGGGCCAAAATCCTAGAACTCCCTCCCTAATGGCATTGTGGGTCAACCCACAGTAGGTGGACTGTTGCGTTCAAGAAGTCAGTTCACCACCACCTTCTCAAGTGCAACAAGGAATGGGCAATAAATGCTGGTCAGCCAGCAACACCCACATCCCACAAATGAATAATTTTAAAAATGCTTTATGTACAATAAAAATCAAAAGAACTGTGAATGGTGTAAATCAGGAACAAAAACAGAAGTTGCTGGAAATGCTCAGCAGGTCTGGCAGCATCTGTAAAGAAAAAAAATCAGTCTTAACGTTTCAGGTCCGGTGACCAGGTCACCAGGTTACTCCGATGCTGCCAGACCTGCTGAGCTTTTCCAGCAACTTCTATTTTTGTTCATGTACTATAACTGGGTCAATTAACACTGTTGGAACTGGAGGAGGCTATTCTATCCTCCAGCCCTGCCATTCAATTAGGTCACAGCTGGTGAATACCCTCAACTTTATTTAACCGACTGTGATCATCTCTCCTGAGCCCCTAGTGCAACAAACATCCATCTATTTCAGTTTTTAAAGTTCCATTTTCCCCGGTATTCAAAAGTCTTTTGGTAGAAAAGTGCATGGTGATTGGTGAATTTTTGCTGCTGTCCATTTAAAGCTGAGGTGATGACAGTGTTGAAAATTGTAAGTGGACTGCCCACACATTACTGCTGTGAGACCATAAGATATGGGAGCAGAGGTAGGCCATTCAACCCATCAAATCTGCTCCACCATACAATGAGATCACAGCTGATTTGATAATCTTCAGTGCCACTTTCCTGCATTTGCCTTATGACACTTGATTCCCTTAACCGAAGAAAAATTTGTCCATCTAAGCTTTTAACGTATGTAATGACCCAGCCTCAACAGACCTCTGCAGTAAAGAATTCCACAGATTCACTACATTCTGAAAGAAGAAATTCCTCCTCATCTCTGTTTTACATAGGTGGGGTTCTGAGATTATACCCCCCTGGTCCTAAAGTCTGCCACAAGGAGTAACAAAGTCTGCACACCTACCTGTCAAATCCGTGACTACTGGTGGTCCTTTCATCCTCATGCAGGTAGGAGCTTAATGGGGTTCAGTTTCACACACACTGAATCTCACTAGGGTACGGGTCCCACACACACTGACTGTCACTGGGGTACAGTCCCACACACACTGACTCTCACTGGGGTACAGTCCCACACACACTGACTCTCACTGAGGTACGGGTCTCACACACACTGACTCTCACTGGGATACAGGTCCCACACACACTGATTCTTACTGGGGTACGGCTCCCACACACACTGACCCTCACTGGGGTACGGGTTCTACACACACACTGACCCTCACTGGGGTACGGGTTCTACAAGTGCTGACTCTCACTGGGGTACAGTTCCACATACACTGATTCTCACTGGGGTACAGTTTTGCAAATACATTCCCTGACCCCAGCCCATCCCACACCCTTGACCTGAAGACATTTTGAATCAATTTGTTCATCCATGTTATGATACACCTCTACAGCAGCTGTTCTGTCCCAGAGGGAGGGAAACTAACTCTGTGCACAAGAGCCCTCATCTTATTTGTGTAGAAATTTTATTGTACATTTAGTTGATTTCTTCTGCAGGGAACGTTTACTGCACTTTAATTTTGGTGAATGATACCTGAATAGGAAGCATGATTTTCTGAAGTGTATGATTCTCAGGATTTTCTGTTTCATTTACCTCAGTCATCGGACATGAGCGTCGCTGGCTGGGCCCAGCATTTATCGCCCGTCCACTGTTGGCTTTGAGAAGGTGGGGGTGAGCTGCCTTTTTGAACCGCTGCATTCCACCTGCTGTGGGTTGACCCACAATGCCATTAGGGAGGGAATTCCAGGATTTTGATCTACCAATAGTGAAGGAACAGCAATATATTTCCAAGTCAGGACGGTGAGCAGCTTGGAGGGGAATTTGCAGGTGGTAGTGTTCCCATGTATCTGCTGCCCTTGTCCTTCTCAATGGAAATGATTATGGGTTTGGAAGGGGCTGTCTGAAGATTCTTGGCAAATTTCTGCAGTGCACCGTGTAAATGGCACACACTGCTGCTATTGAGTGTCAGTGGTGGAGGGAGTGGATCTTTGTGGATGTGGTGCCAATCAAGCGGCTGCTTTGTCCTGGACGGTGTCAAGCTTCTTGAGTGTTGTTGGAGCTGCACCCAACCAGACAAGTGAGGTGTATTCCATCATACTCCTGACTTGTGCCTTGTAGATAGTGGACAGGAGGTGAGTTACTTGCCACAGTATTCCTGCTCTTGTAGCCACTATATTTACATGGCAAGTCCAGTTGAGTTTCTGATCAATGATAACACCCAGGATGTTGATAGTGGGGGATTCAGTGATGGTAACTCCACTGAATGGCAAGGGGCGGTGGTTAGATCGTCTCTTATCGGAGATGGTCAGTGCTTGTGCTGAATGGACCTGTACCTACAGTAAACAATCTAGCTGGCTGTATTTTGTGTCTCAGATTTCTACTGGCGAACCACAAGACACCTATGAGAAGTTACAAATCTGTGAGGAGAAATTAATTTTCTTGGAGAACAAAGTTAGAAACTTCGTTGTTGATGAATGGATGTTAACCGAACAAGAGAAGGTAATGTGCAATTGTGTTTCCATGCATCTCATCGTCTCCCTGGTCTGAACAGTCTTCAATGTGTGAGTGAGAGGTTTGTCCTGTCTTTAGGCCTTTAGATTTTGGTAGGCATAAGGAATACACTAAATGAGGAAACTTTAAAAGTTGTAGAAGGGCAAAAGACTTCCAGAGTAGGCAGAAAAAGTAATTCATTGGTCCTCAGCTGTATAAATGCAAACTCTACATTCCAAAGTATTGACAGTGAATCTCCTCTCAGCCAGCTATTGGTCATTGTTGGGGAAGTGAAGAATCCCAGAGAGATAGTGAAGTATGTAAGATTTCGAAGGAAATAAATAATTAGATTCTGCTGACATGTTTGACATTGTTGGGACACAGCTCCAAAATGGAAGGGCCTAGAGGAATTAGATTAAACTATTTCACACAAGATGAGCAAGGGGGTTGGGGCAAAGTGTGGTAGATTTCAAATAATTTAGGAGAGTGGGCAAATAGAAGGTTTTAGTATTAAGAACTAGCTGTAGGACCACATCCAGGCAATGTTCATGAATAACAAACTTTCAGGAACTCTGAATCCAATATTTGACCTTTGGAGGGGGTGACAAAACAGCCAATATTCAGCTGACCTTCATCAAAGATCCAGAAAGTTCCAGGTTAATGCAGCCTGAGATTCTGTTTTACCACCTAATTGTCAAACGCAGTTTACCTTTCTCAGCTGCAGAGATGAATGTTTGCAAAGTCATCAAATTACAAAGTAACCCAACTATCCATGTCTGTCCTTTGTTAATTTGTCAAGTTGTCAAGAATTAACTTGTCTCTCTTATCTAATTCAGTTAACAGAATTAATTGAGAAGACATTTGGTGAGAATGAAATGAACAGAAATGTTATGGTTGAAGTAGATGACTTTGAAATCCACGGTGAGTGTTAATTGAGAAACCTGTAGTAACTTCAGCTTTCACATGGTCTCCCAGACTGAGTGCTGATATAGGATTAGACCTGTCCCTTTATTCTTTTCGTTCATGAAGATGCGTGAAATGAGGTTGAATGAATCCATTCCCCTGCCTCATCCTGAATCCCTCAAGTATGGCTTGTGAGACCATGGAAAATCCTAAATAAAAACCAAAAGAACTTTAGATGCTGTAAATCAGGAACAAAATCAAAAGTTGCTGGAAAAGCTCAGCAGGTCTGGTAGCAGTTGTGAAGAAAAAATCAGAGTTAACATTTCAGGTGTGGTGACTTGGGTTCCGAGGAAGGGTCACCGGACCCGAAACATTAACTCTGACTTTTTCTTCACAGATGCTACCAGCCATGCTGAGCTTTTCCAGCAACTTCTGTCATTTTTCATGGAAAATCCTTACTGTATAGGACTAAAGGGATAAAGATGGTTTCAGCCATGGAAGGAGATCTCGTGTTTCACCTCAACAAACTTAATCAGACTCTGAATCCTTGTCCTTGACACTGTTCTCCAAGAGAATGGCATGATGGTACAGCGCAACATCTTTGCTCATGTTTCATATAAAATGTGTATCACTGCCTGCTCATGGCTCTAAAACATTTCATATTTCCAGATAATGTACGAAGAACAGCTTGTTGAGAGACAGTTGAGACAAAGAGTGGGATAAAAGAGATGAAAATAATAAAAACACTTCATAGAATCACTACAGATGGAAGCGGGCCATTTAGCCCATTGAGTCCATACTGACCCTCAGAACAGCATTCCACCCAGACCCACCCCGTCCCTGTAACCCTGCATTTCCCAAGGCTAACCCACCTGCCCTGCATATCCCTGGACACTATGGACAATTTAGCATGGCCAATCTGTCTAACCTGCACATTTTAGACTGTGGGAGGAAACCACAGCACCCAGAGGAAACCCACAGAGACAAGGGGAGAATGTGCAAACTCCACACAGACAGTTGCTTGAGGCTGGAATCAAACCCAGGTCCCTGATGCTGTGAGGCAGCAGTGCTGACCACTAAGCCACTGTGTCACCCCTTTTTTTTTTTACTGAAGTATTGAATCTGTACAGTTGTAAAAATTCATTTTTGATGCCAGAGAGTTTGTTTGGTATTAATTAAGACTTAATGTGTTGTGAAAAAGTCACTGATACACACACACACACACACACACACACACACACACACACACACACACACACACACACACACACACACACACACACACACACACACACAAAAAGGTGGTGATTTCAAAAAAGGTAGCATGTATTTAGGCCTTAAATCCAAAATAAAAATTATCAGACTTTCTTCCCTCAAGATAAAATTTTGAAATCTTGCAGGATTGTAATTTCTGTTTGGCTCACTGAAGCCCTCTGAGGACACTGTATGCTTTATTATTTGCTCTTTCCACTTGCCTACCGCCTTCACTCTTCTGTGCAGGTATATGCCCAGGTACCTCTGAGTCATAAAGATCTACAGCACAGAAAAAGGTCCTTTGGCCCATTTCATCTTCGCCAGTCAAAAACAACCATCTAAATATTCTACCCATTTTCCATCACTTGGCCCATAGCCTTGTATGCTTTGGCATTGCGTATGCACATTTAAATACTTTTTAAATATAATGGGGTTTTCTGCCTCTACCACCTTCACAGGCAGTGACTTCCAGATTCAAACCACCCTCTACTTGAAAAAGACTTTCTTTTAAGCTCCTCAAAACCTTCTGCCCCTTACCTTAAATCTATGCCACTGGCCATTGATCTCTCCATCAAGTGGACAAGTTTCTTCCTGTCTACCTTATCTATGCTCCTCATAATTCTATACATCTCAATCATGTCACCTCTCAATCCCCTCTGCTCCAAGGAAAACAACCCCTAAGTGTCCAATTTCTCTTTGTGACTGAAACTCTCCAGTTCAGGCAACATCCTGGTAAATCTCCTCCATAGCCTCTCCAACGCAATCACATTCCTCTCATAAAGGTGGATTCCAGAACTGCACACTCTAGCTATGGTCTAATCAACATTTTATACAGCATAACCTCCCTACTCCTAAAGTCTGTGCCTCAACTAATAAATGCACGTATCCCAAATGCGTTTTTAACCACATTATTCTCTTGTTCTGATACCTTAAGGGATTGACGTACATATACCCCAATGTCCCTGTGAATCTTGGTGCTTCCCAGGGTCCTACCATCCATCAAGTATTCCCTTGCCTTGTTGTCTTGCCAAGTGCATCATCTCACATTTATCTGCATTGAATTCCATTTCCCACTGATCAACCCATCTGACCAACTTGTCTGTATCCTCCCGTAATCTAAGAACAAAGAACAACACAGAACAGTAACAGGACTTGGGCCCTCCAATCCTGCGCTGACACATTTTGCCCTTCCATATTAAAACTATCTTTACTTATAGGATCCATATCCCTCTATTCCCTTCCTATTCATGTATTTGTCCAGGTTCCTCTTGAATGCTGCTATTGTGTCTGCTTTCACTACCTCCTCTGGCAGCACGTTCCAGGCACTCACCATCCTTTGTGTGAGATACGTACCTCGCACATCTCTACCTTTGTCCCATAATAATTGACCCCTCCACCGTGGGAAAAAGACTCATCTTTCCAGTCTATCCATGCCATTCATAATCTTCTAAACTTCTATCAGGTCACTCCTCAACCTCTTGTATTCCAGTGAAAACAAACCCAGTTTATCCAACCTTTCTTCAGAGCTAAAATCCCCCGTACCAGGTAACATCCTGGTGAACCTTTTCTGTACCCTCTGCAAAGCATCCACATCCTCCTGGTAGTGTGGTGACCAGAACTGTACACAATATTCCAAGTGTGGCCTAACTAAAGCTCTGTAAAGCTACAGCATAACTTGTCTATTCTTATACTTGATGCCCCTTCCAGTGAAGGCAAGCATGCCATAGGCCTTTCTTACTGTCTTATCTACCTTCAGTGATCTGTGGACCTGCACACCCAGGTCTGTCTGCATATCAATACTTATAAGGGTTCTGCCGTTCACTGTATAATTTCCATCTGCACTTGACCTTCTAAAATGCATCACTTTACATTTGGCTGGATTAAACTCCATCTGCCATTTTTCTGCCCATGCCTCCAAATGATCTATATCCTGCTGTATCATCTGACAACCCTCCTCATTATCCACAATTCCACCAATCTTTGTATCGTCTACAAACTTACTGTACAGCTACGTTTTGCTCCAAATCATATATGTAGGTCACAAACAGCACAGGTCCTTGCACTGATCCCTGTGGAACACCACTAGTCACAACCCTCCATTCCGAAAAGCATCCTTCCACCACTACCCTCTGTCCCCTATGACTCAGCCAGTTCTGTATTCATCTTGCCAGCTCACCCCTGATAACATGTGATTTCACCTTTTGTACCAGTCTGAGGGACCTTGTCAAAGGTTTTACTGAAGCCCATGTAGACAACATCAATCGCTTTTCCCTCGTCAATTATCTTCGTCACCTCCTCAAAAAACTCAATCAAGTTAGTAAGGCACAACCACCCCTGCACAAAACCGTGCTGATTATCGCTAATCAGTCTATTTGCTTCTAATGCTTGTGGACCTAAGGATATCCATCTCACTATTTACCACCCCACCAATTTTTAAAAATCATTTGTAAGCTTACTGATGAACCCTCCTGCATTCAAATCTAAATCATTTATATAAACCACAAACAGCAAGGGGCCCAACACTGAACCCTGTGGGTCCCCACTGGACACAGGTTTCAAGTTAGTAAACACTCCATAACCATCACCCTCTGCTTCCTGCCACTCAGCTAATTGTGGATCCAATTTGCCAAATTTCTTTGGACCCCATGGGCAATCAGTCTCCTATGTGGGACCTGATCAAAAGCCTTGCTGAAATGCAAGTAGGCTGCATCAAAGTCATCGCCCTCATCTACACACCTGAACATCTCTTCAAAATATTCAGCCAAGTTGGTCAGATAAGACCTCCCCTTAACAAAATTGTTCGTGATTAATCCCTGCTTCTCCAAATGCAGATTAATTCTGTCCCTCAGAATTGCTTTCAATAGTTTCCCCAATCCACCAAGGTTAGACTGACTGTAGTTTCCTGATTTATCCCTTGCTCCCTTCATGAATAATTGGCTGTCCTCCAGTCCTCCAGCACCTGTCCTGTGGCCAGAGAGGAATTGAACATTTTTGCATTGCCCCTGTTATTTTCTCCCTTGCCTCTTTCAAGAACCTGGGATAGAATTAGAGCTGATTAGTTGTAGCAACTGATAGCCTCAGTATTCTCTATATAACAAACAATGGTGCTTGTGCCATTCACTAAGACTGGGGTTAGCCTCCAGTGAATAGTGCAGACTACCACCATGTAATCAGACCAGAATCAAGCACCATTGGGAATTGTGTCCAATTCTCCTGCTCTTCTCTTCCAGATGATTTAGACTATTTGGCAGCAGGAACTGATGGTATTCTCACAAGAGAAGAAATTAAAAGACGGAGTGAACTTCTAGTGCAAGACAAGACACGAATAGTGAGGAGAGTGAAGAAGAAGGGCAGAAAACGATATGTCAGCAAGAAAAAAGTCATTTGTGATATGGGTGTGTGAGAACAGCTCAGTCTTGATCACTGGAAATAAACAGCTGTCTATTTACTTTTGAGAAGAAAATGCTTCTTTATTTTTGCCAGAGCAAATTACCGTGGATGACTGAGATCTGAAATCCAAACAGGAAATATCTGAAATACTCAGCAGATTAGGAAGCAGCAGTGGAGGGAGAGATAGAATTAACGCTTCATATCAATTACCTTTCACCAGAACTGGGTAATGTTTGGGATGTGATAAAGTTTAAACCAGAGAACTGGGAGAAGGAGGTGAGGAAAGAAACCAAAAGGAAAGGTCAATAATACAGTGGAAGGCAGGAGAGATTAACTCATAGAAAGGTTGATAGTAAAGGCCAAAGGAGATGATACTGGAACAAGCAAAGAATCAAAATTTCTTTCCAGAGGTGATGTATATGGAAAGGCACATCATCATCATCAAAAAGATGCCAACCAAAAGAGGGTAGCATTTGCAGTTTATAATCGGAAATAATTGAATTTAACATCAAGTCAACATGCCGTTGAAGTGCCTGGTCTAAAGATGTAGAGCTGTTCCTCAAGTTTACGTTGAGCTTCATTGAAACACTAAAGGGGGCTGACCAGCGAGTGAAGGCTGAGCGATGAATTGAGTGGCATGAAGAGCAGGAAAATAAGACTGAGAGTGACTGGGGACAGTTAGATTAGAGTATGAGGACACTGAGGTGAAAGTGTGATTGACTAATGACAATGAGATTAGAGTGTGAGTGATTAAGATCAGTGAGATTAGAGTGTCAGTGACTAAGGGCAGTCAGGTGAGAGTAGGAATGACTGAGGACATGACCCTCTTTCTTCCTAAACCCTTTGATTCCTTTAGCTCTAAGAATTATATCTAACTCCTCTCTGTGAGATGTACAGGCACCAGTCAGGGGTTTGGGCACTCCTGGTTCAGGGCTGTTTTGTTAGTTTGCTGAAGGGAGTGGGCCGCAGTCAGTTCATCAGATCAGTCCAGAGAAACTAAAGGGAAAGCGGGAAAGGGAGGGTTAAACCTATTGCCATGGAAAGGAGAGTCGGGAACCTATTTAAGTCATAGAGACATACAGCATAGAAACAGACCCTTTGGCTGACCATGTCTATGCTGACCATTGAACACCAAACTACACTAATCCCATTTCCCTGCACTTGGTCTATAGCCTGTGACCTGACATTTTAATATGCCTCCACCACCCACTTATAGAATCGTAGAATTCCTACAGTGTGGAAGCAGGCCATTGGCCCATCAAATCCACATCGACCCTCCGAAGATCATCCCACCTAGACCCAATCCCCTACCCTATCCCTGTAAACCTGCATTTCCCATGGCCAATCCACCTAACCTGCACATCTTTCGACTCTCAGGCAGCACATTCCATATTTTTACTGCCCTCTGGGTGAAAAAGATTTTTCTCAGTCTTCTCTAAACCACTTAGTCCTCACCTTAAAGTTGTGCCCTCTGGTCTTAGACACGTCTGCCGTGGACAAGAGATTTTTATGATCTACCCTGTCTGTACCTCACATGACTTTGTATACCTCAAACAGATCCCCTCTGAGCCTCATCACAATGAAATCAAACCCAGCCCAGTCAAGAATCATTGAATCATTTATTCTCACGTGTATTCAATGTAAAAATACAGTGAAAAGTTGTACATACATGGCACCGTTCACGTTAACTTAGAATAAGATAAGAAAAAAAGATAACAAGAGAGTCCAACTTTCCTTTCCACTGCTGCAATCCCACTATGGCCTTTTTAGTCCACACCATGCCCATCCAGTCTATCTTCATAACTGAGACTTTTCATCCCAGGCAATATCCTTGCAAATCTCCTCTGCACCTTCTCCAGTGCAATCACGTCCTTCCAATGGTGTAGCTACCAGAACTGCACACAGTATTCCATCTCTAGCCTAACCAACGGTTTGTAATGTTGTAACAAGACTAGCTTCCTCCTATATTCTATGCCCCAGATAATGAAGAGAAACATCCCATTTGCTGCCTTCACCACCCTGTTTACCTGTGCTGACACTTCCAGGTCATTCTTCAGCACTGCGGGCTATGATGGGTGGGAAGAGGAGATGAAATTGGGAACGTGGGTGGGGGTGTCAGTATCTCTAGGAGGCATATGGTAAAACATGGATGTAAAGAGAGTAATGCAGGAGAGGAGTTTGTCCACAGTCAGGAGCACTAGCTTTGAGGGCAGGCAATGGCCTAGTGGCATTATCAGTGAATTATTAATCCAGAGACCCAGGTAATATTCTGGGGTGCCTGAGTCCAAATCTTACCATGGCAGATTGTGGAACTTGTACTTTTTAAAAATCTGGAATTATGAGTCCAATGATGACTGTGCAACTGTTGTCGATTGTCAGACGAAAATACCCATCTGGTTGACATGTCTTTTAGGGAAGGAAACTGGAAACTCCGTCCTTACCTGAGGGTCTGACCTACATGAGACTCCAGACCCACAGCAATTTTGTTGACTCTTAACTGCCCTTTGGGCAATTAGGGATATGTAATAAATGCTGGCCCAGCCAGAGACGCCCACATTCTGTGAAAGAAGGGAGAAACTGGATGCCGCTGGCCTTCCATCATGCTGGAAATCGAATGGACATAATGGAGAAGAAAATGGCTATGACCACAGTCAAAGCAGGGTAAGTGTTTCAACCTGTGAAGGACGGGGCTGCAGCACACACTCGTGTGAGACCTTTTTAAAGGAAACACATCACACACAGACCCATACACTGTACAGCACACAGATCTGCAGAGTCCCTAATCCCTGGCCATCCTCATGCATTTCTCTCCTGTTTGTTGCACATCTCCCTGCCTCAGACATCGTTGACCAACTCATTCACAGCAACACTTCTGGACACAGACACCAGGGAAAGAATAAGGATGTAAAAACCGCAGATGCTGGAAAACAGAAACAAAAACAGATATCGCCGGAAAAGCTCAGCAGGTCTGGCAGCATCTATCAAGAGAAATCAGAGTAAACGTTTTAGGTCCAGTGACCCTTCCTCTGAATAGGGATGTTGTACAAGGAGAGACAATGGACCGACATGGTTTGTTTTTAAAAGAAATAACATATAGAGTCATACAGCATGGAAACAGGCCCTTCAGTTCTTTGAGAAGGTGACCAAACAGGTGGATGAGGGTAAAGTGGTTGATGTGGTGTATATGGATTTCAGTAAAGCGTTTGATAAGGTTCCCCATGGTAGGCTATTGCAGAAAATACAGAGGCATGGGATTGAGGGTGATTTAGCGGTTTGGATCAGAAATTGGCTAGCTGTAAGAAGACAGAGGGTGGTGGTTGATGGGAAATGTTCATCCTGGAGTTCAGTTACTAGTCGTGTACCTCAAGGATCTGTTTTGGGGCCACTGCTGTTTGTCATTTTTATAAATGACCTGGATGAGGGCGTAGAAGGATGGGTTAGTAAATTTGCGGATGACACCAAAGTCGGTGGAGTTGTGGAGAGTGCGGAAGGATGTTGCAGGTTACACAGGGACATAGATAAGCTGCAGAGCTGGGCTGAGAGGTGGCAAATGGAGTTTAACGCGGAAAAGTGTGAGGTGATTCACTTTGGAAGGAATAACAGGAATACAGAGTACTGGGCTAATGGTAAGATTCTTGGTAGTGTGGATGAGCAGAGAGATCTCGGTGTCCATGTGCATAGATCCCTGAAAGTTGCCACCCAGGTTGATAGCGTTGTTAAGAAGGCGTACGGTATGTTAGGTTTTATTGGTAGAGGGATTGAGTTTTGGAGCCATGAAGTCATGTTGCAGCTGTACAAAACTCTGGTGTGGCCGCACTTGGAGTATTGCATACAGTTCTGGTTGCCACATTATAGGAAGGATGTGGAAGCATTGGAAAGGGTGCAGAGAGATTTACCAGGATGTTGCCTGGTATGGAGAGAAGGTCTTATGAGGAAAGGCGGAGGGAAGGTCTTATGAGGAAAGGCTGAGGGTCTTGAGGCTGTTTTCGTTACAGAGAAGAAGGTTAAGAGGTGACTTGATAGAGACATACAAGATGATCAGAGGATTAGATAGGGTGGACAGTAGGAGCCTTTTTCCTCGGATGGTGATGGCTAGCACGAGGGGACATAGCTTTAAATTGAGGGGTGATAGATATAGGACAGATGTCAGAGGTAGGTTCTTTACTCAGAGAGTAGTAAGGGTGTGGAATGCCCTGCCTGCAAAAATAGTAGACTCGCCAACTTTAAGGGCATTTAAATGGTCATTGGATAAACATATGGATGATAATGGAATAGTTTAGGTTAGATGGGCTTCAGATTGGTTTCACAGGTCGGCGCAACATCAAGGGCCGAAGGGCCTGTACTGCGCTGTAATGTTCTATGTTCTATGTTCTATGTTCAGCCCAACTTGTTGATGCCAATAAGATTTCCTAAACTAAACTGTTTGGCCTGTTTGGCCCATATCCCTCTAAACCTTTCTTATCCAAGTATCTATTCAAATGTCTTTAACTCACTTCTACCATTTCCTCTGGCAACTCATTCCATATATGCAGCACTCTTGGTGTGAAAAAGTTCCTGTTAAGTCCATTTTAAATCTTTCCCCTCTCACTTTAAACATATGCCCTCTTGTTCTAAATGGTCGTCCCTTCTCTCCAAGTCCTAGTCTCTCCTACCAGTGGAAACACCAGTGAAGACTCTATCCACGCTTCTCAATATTCTGTAAGTTTCAAATAAGATTTCCTCTCATCTTTTTAAACTCCATCAAGAGTCCCAGAGTCCTCAACTGCTCCTCATATGACAACCCTTCATACCCAGGATAATTCTCATAAACTTTCTCTGGACCCCTCCCATGCCAGTACATTCTTCCTTAGATATTTCTTAAAACTGCTCACAATATTCCAAATTCGGTCTGACCAGACCCTTCTACAGCCTCAGCAGTACATCTCTGATCTAACATTGCATTTGCCTTTCTAACTGCCAACTGAACCTGAATGTTAACTTTGAGAGAATCCTGAACTAGGACTCCTAAGTCCCTTTATGCTTCAGATTTCCAAAGCCTTTGCCCATTTAGGAAATAGTCTACATCTCTATTCATCCTACCAAAGTGCACAACCTCCAACGTCCCACATTGTATTCCATCTGTCACTTCTTTGCCCACTGTCCCAGCCTCCTAAATCTTTCTGCTTCCTCAATACTACCTGTCCCTTCACCTATGTTTGTATCATCTGCAAACTTAGCAACAATATCCTCAGCTATTCATCCAGATCGTTCATGTACAACATGAATAATAGTGGTCCGAACACTGATCCCTGTGGAACTCCACTAGTCACCAGCTGCCATCCTGAAAAAGACCCCTTTAGCTACAACACTGGCATCTACCCTACAATGTGAAAAATTGCCCAGGAATGTCCCATCCAAAAGCAGGACAATGTGAACCTGTCCAATTACTGCCCAAATAATATACTCTTGATCATCAGGAAAGTGATGGCAGGAGTCCTTGATAATGCTCAGCAATAAACTGTAGAATCATGCAACCATACCGTGCAGAAATGGGCCTTTAGCCTATCAAGTCTTTACTGCCTCCACTACCCCCCCAGGCAAAGTCTTTCAGACCACCACCATCTTTTGGGTGAAAACATTTTCCTCAAATCCCCTCTAAACCTGCTGCCTTTCACTTTAAAAGTGTGTCCTTTTGTTCTTGAATCTTCAACTGAGGGGAATAGCTGCTATCCACCCTGTCCACGTCCTGCTTAGTTTAGGTTCTGCCAGTGTCATTCAGTTCCTGACATCATTACAGCCTTGGGTCAGGCATGGACAAAAGAGCTGAATTCCAGAGGAGAGGTGAGAGTGACAGCCGTTGATATCAAGGCTGCATTTGACCAAATGGGGCATTAAGAAGCCATAGCAATTGAATTGGGTGGGTTGGGGGTGGGGGGGGGCGGCAGAAGAAGATGTGGGAGTCTCACTTCTGGTTGGAGTCATACCTGCTACGTAGAAAGATGGTTGTGGTTGTGAAGGTCAGTCTTCTCAGCAGGAGTACCTCAGGGTAATGTTCTTGGACCAACCATCTTCAGCTCTTTCAACAATGACCTTCCCTCCATTGGTGGGGATGTTCACCAGTGATCACATCATGTTCAGCACCATTTGCAGCTCTTCAGATAATGAAGTAGTCCTTGTTGAAATGCAGAAAGTCCCAACAGTATCAAGGCCTGAGCTGACAAATGGCAAGTAACAGTTATGCAACACAAGTGTCAGTCGATGACCATCTCCAACAAGAAAGAATCCAACAATTGCACCTTCATGTTCAATGACGTCGCCATCATTGAATCCACCTACAATCCACCAATCCACATCGTAGATTTTACCATTGACCAGAATCTGAACTGCACCTAGATATAGATGCTGTGGCAACAAGAATACGTCAGGAGCTGGGACTTAGTGATGTGTAACTCAATTCACATGCATGTCCACAAGGCACAAGTCAGGAGTGTGATGAAATGTTCCCCACTTGCCTGGACGGGTACAACTCCAACAATGCCTAAGAAGCTTGATACCATCCAAGACAAAGCAGCACATTTGACTGGCCTGTCCACAGCATTCACTCCCTGCACTACTGACACTCCGTAATAAAAGTGCATGCCATGTAGAAGACACTGCAGTAACTCACTCAGGCTCCTTATGTAGCACCTTCCAAACTAATGAATTGTACCACCTGGAAGGATAAAGGCAGCAGATATATGAGAACATTACCACCTGCAAGTTCCCCTCCAAGTATTCACCATCCTGACTTGGAAATATATCATCATTTGTTCACTGTCACTGGGTCAAAATCCTGGAATTTCCTCCCCAGCAGCACAGTGGGTCAACCTACAGCACACGAACTATACCAGTTCAAGAAGGCAGCTTGCCACAACCTTCTAGGCCTTTTTTTTGGTGAGTCCACATTTTAAAAATGTGTTCATGGTTGTGTGTGTCACTAGCTAGACCAGCACTTATTGCCTATCCTGAACTGCAATTAAGAGTCAACCACATTGCTCTGGAGTGACAGGTAGGCCAGACTAGGAAAGAATGAGAGATTTCCTTCTCCCAACGACTTTTGGGAACCTAACCTTAACAGTAACTTTATTCCTGTATTCCAATGCACTTACAACAAAGGCCAACAAGCCACTTACTATCCTAATCACTTACAGCACTTGCATGTTAACTTTCTGTTCTACAAGTAGGATTACACAGAATATGTGGTACAGAAACAGACCATTCAGTCCAACCAGTCAACACTGGGGTGAATGCTGTACTTGGCATTCCTCCCATCTTGTCTCATCAAATTTGTTGTAACCATGTTATCACATCTCCATCAAATGTTTATCTAGCTTCCCCTTAAATGCAGACTATTTACTTCAATTATTCACAGTGGAACTGATTTCTACATTGTTCCCATTCTCATTAGGAATACTGTGTGCAGTTTGGTTCTCGTATTTAAGAAAGACTGTACTTGTGTTTGAATATGGCAAAGGTTCAAAGATTGGCTCCTGGCCTGAGACGTTTGTCCTCTGATGAGAGGCTGAGTGAATTGGTATTTAGAGAAATAAGAGGTGATCTCATTGAGACACACAGGACTCTGAAGGGTTCCCTACCAGGCTGGAGAAGCTAGAACAGGGTGGGGCACAGTCCCAGGATTAGGGCCCAATCATTTCAGACTGAGCTGACGTGAAATTACATCTCTGAAAGCGTTCTGAATCTTTTAAATTCTCTATCAGGTTCTTAGTTCCTTGAAGTTGGAGCCATAGGTAGACAGGGTGGTGAAGAAAGCGTTTGGTACAATTGCCTTTATTGGTCCATGTATTGTATAGGAGTTGGGAATGTCATGTTTCGGCTGTACTGGACATTGGTTAGGCCACTTTTAGAATACCGTGTTCAGTTCTGGTCTCCCTGCTATTGGAAAGATGTTGTTAAACTTCAAAGTGTGTAGAAAAGATTTACAAGGATGGTGCCAGGGTTGGAGGATTTGAGCTAAAGGGAGAGGCAGAATAGGCTGGGGCTACTTTCCCTGGAGAATCGGAGGCTGAGGTGTGAAGTATAGAGGTTTATAAAATGATGAAGGGCATGGATAGGGTGAATGCACAAAGTCTTTTTCTCAGGGTAGGGGCGTTCAAAACTAGAGGACATACATTTAAGGTGAGAGGGGAAAGATTTAAAATGTACCTGGGCCAACTTTTTCACTCAGAGGGTGGTGTGTGTATAATTACAACATTTAAAAGGCATCTGGATGGGTACATGAACAGGAAGGGTTTAGGGGCTATGGGCCAAATGCTGGCAAATGGGACCACGTTAATTTAAGATATCCAGTCAGCATGGACGAGTTGGACTGAAAGGCCTATTTCCACGCTGTATAACTCGTCAACTATGACTATCCCAGTGGACTGTGAATGCTCCAACATTGAAGTCTGGGTCAGGCAGCATTTTGGGGCTCTCGGGGAATCGAGAGATATGAAGTGCGGGTAGAAAGGTGGAGTTGAGCAGGGCCAGCCATGATGGTAGATAATGGCGGATGAGGTTCGATGGGCTGAACAGCCTTCCCTTGCCAAGCGATCACATGGTCTCTGTACGAGCGCAGTCGCAGTGTGGGCGGTGTTTCCACGCAGCCGCAGTGTGCCGGCCTGGAGCCGGACCGTGTGGTGTTGTGGCGGCTATTTTCTGTCTGTCAGCTCCCCCTGTTCCTGGGGCCTGAGTACGGGCCGCTCCCCGCATAGACATGTTCTCAGCACTGAAGAAGCTGGTGGGTACCGAACAGGCCCCGAGCAGGGACAGGATCATCCCCGCCGGGTTACAGAGCATGAACCAGAGCCTGCAGCGGAGGTTCGCCAAAGGAGTGCAGTACAACAGTGAGTGGGGCCGGGGG